TTAGGCATAGACTGGCTGTTCCAGTGCGGCTTCATCCGCATGAAATGTCATAATTCAAACGAACAAATGACAATTGCTTCCTTGATGTTGGCAGCAACTTATGGTCTCTTTCCCACATTAAGGTTTCTATCCACAATATTTACCACCTAAGTTTAATGGCGTGATATACAGCCTAAAGCGTGGCGTAAGTGTAGGGCTCTCTATCTAAGAAGGAATTACTCAAAAATATGCTGTAATTGCTGACATCTTGGCCAACAAAGAAGTGTGTTTACGCCTTTTTTATAATAGTATAGATGTACAGGATAGTCTGGAAGAACATATAGGCTACTTACTTTAGCTATTTTAATTAAACACGGACGGAGTCGCGGGCTAAAACTAGTAATAAAATAATTAACTATGCGTAGAATATGCCTATAAGATAGAAAATGTTCATATTTTTCCTTTCCAATTTAGCTTCTAATTATAGCTAAATCATGGTTTTCACTGGATATTTTGATTAATGTCTGAATTATCACACTGACCGTGACATTTGTAGGTGACAAAGACAACACTAAAATATTTAGTAACAGAGTGCTCAGACGGTTCATTTAATATTAAAATCCATTACGAAGTGACACTCAACAGTAAATAACAAAAAAATATGATAATAACTCCTGAGTTTACATGTATTTTCACAGGAAATTGTTAAAGCGTGCCACTTGAAACTAAACTATCGCACAACTGTTTAGTCCCGCTTTGATTGCTATGAACTATATGGTGCTCACACTACTCGATTTTTAGTTGTGTAAACAATTGAGGCTACGAAACAATCGACAATCGCCTAACAGTTTGCGATATTTTAATGAAAGGTGTGCGCCTAAGTCTATCAATCTTATCTTGCTAATATTATAAATATGAAAGTTTGGATGGATGGATGTTTGTTTGAGTTTGTAGCCTAAACGGCTAAACGGATTTCGATGAAATTTGGCACAGATGTAGAATATAGTCTGGAAGAACACATAGGCTATTCACTTTTGTTTATTCCAATACAACGCGGACGGAGTCGCGGGCGATAACTAGTACAGACTAAAGGAAACCAAACACAAGATATTAGTAAGATTTTCATTAACAATGCGTGTTATAAATCAACGAACAGCTATACAGAAAGACGATAGAAAGAGTAACAAAAACAAAAGAAACACGTCTTCATAAACTCTGGGTAAAATACAAATACTATATGCTGTCTCTGTTATTCACACAGTATAAGAAAGAGACAATTATGCTTTTTATATATATATTGACAGTGAAACCAAACTACGAGTCACGATAATGAGCATACGTGATGTGAATACTGAAAGGAATTAATAAAATTTTATCTGCAGATTGAAATGAAATATATTTTTACGATATTATTATTGGAAACGTATAAGAATTTTATCTTTTACATATTTAAAAAAAATTAAAAAAACATATTATGTTATTAACTCATCAACTGCACTTCTAATTTAATGTTTGTTAGACTTCCCTTAGTGCGGATTTCTAAACAAACATGGTATTTGTAATGTACACTAAAAGACTGCCCAATATGGAAGCCTGATAAGTTGTGGAGCAACTACCCCTCGTCTCAGGATAATAAAAAAATAATGTAAACACGTAAATTATAACGGAATTTTAAAAGGCTTCCAATACCTTATAGAGAACTCAAAAACTACTAGACAGATTTTAAATTTTACCTATGAAATAAAAATAAACAAGATGATTTTACTATAATCTATCTATACTATTATAACAAAGCGTAAACACATATTCTTTGTTGCCTAAGATGTCAACAATCACAGCATATTTTTGAATAATTCTTTTTTAAACAAAAAGCCTTACACTTGCGTCACGATTTAGGCTATATATTTTCACGTCATTAAACTTAGGGGGTAAATATTTTGGATAAAAACCCTAATGTGGAAAAGAGATCATACGATAAGAGATGCCAACATCAAGAAGCAATATTGTCAAAAGGTAATTATTATAGTATTTTGACATTTGCAAATAATTTTTTTATAATTTTCATGTGGGTGAAGCCGCACGGGAACAGCTAGTCTTAAATACAGCCTCAGTAGGCTGTCGTCGCCCTTCAAATGACTAGTATGATATTCAATTTCGAATCGGAAAGTGTTATACTCGACTAATGCCACACATAAAAAGTGTCATCACAGTATGAGAAAACGAAAGCTATGAAGTGCATTGACGCATGAATCGCGAGTATAAGGCTTGTTGTACATCTGAAGCGATAATTTTAGGTAAAAAAATAAGGCAATGTAATACTTTAAAATCAGCCGAATATTGGACGTTAAATAGTTTGTAATGTAGCAAAAGTAAATAATAAAATATGATTAATCCATCTTACTAATATTATAAATGTCAAAGTTTAGATGGATGGATGTTTGTTAGAGTTTGTAGCTTAAACGGCTTAACGGATCTAGATGAAATTTGGCACAGACATAGAGCATAGTCTGGAAGAACACATAGGCTATTTACTTTTTTTAATACCACGCAAACAGAGTCGCGGGCGAAAACTAGTGCAATTTTAAAGAGGAAAGATTTGTATTTTTGTACCTATTGATATAACTCAAAAACTACTGAGCCGAATGCTAAAATTCTTTTACCATTAAAAAGCTACTTTAGCATTAAGTAACACAGGCTATACTTTTTATTTTATTTTATGTCACGAGGCCGAAGTCGTAAGCAACAGCTAGTTACTTATAAAAGTATATCTAAATAAGATCATTGATAGACGTAAACACGTAAACATCTGAGGATCATGACTGTCTTATAGAGGCTTTTATTTTTCATTTGTAAAGGTTTTATGGACTTGAACATCGGAGCCACATGTTAACTCTTATTTTTGACCGACTTTCCAAAAGAAGGAGGTACTCAATTCGTCTATATGTTTTTGTTTTTTTTTTCAATCAAAAGTTTTCTCGCTTCTCTCAGTTCTCATTTACTTGTATAGCTTGTCAGGTCAGCATTGCAATGCTCAAATATTTGTTATGTGTTTTAATTGCATTTCTATTATTCTTTATTTAATTACTTTGTTTTATATTATTTCTTATTGCATTGTAATGTTGATTACTATTCTATGTTGTTTTATTTATTTTTATTTTTAATATCTATAGCATTGCTATCGCATTATGTATACAATGCGCTTTACCAATGTGCATCGCGTTACGTAATTATTGTTAGGCAATAATCGCTCGGGTGCATCGTACGCCATTAAATACATGGGAAATTACAATACGTACTTTCTACATACATATATGACATGTTAATGATCAGTAATAAATTACTAAAACATCATCATCACCGGGTTTTCGTCCTCCACATAACTATCATATGTCATCTCAGTCATCACTCCCTTCATCATGTCACCTTTCACGCAATCAAGCGTAGGTGTTTAGTAATTAATGTATGAATGATGTTTTCTGCTGTTTTCGATGCCCACGATACAAGCATTGCCTAGTGAAGGCATCACCAGATTAATCATATTAACTAAAATTTGTAATTATCTTTTAGTTGGTATAATTGTTATTGTAATTGTTAATTTCTTGTTTTTCAATAAATTATTTCTTATTTCGTAATCCATCCATCTCTTTCTATGTCTACCTCTACCGGTACCACATTTATAACTAACGTTCGTCTTGTTACATGCGATTCATCCCTTATCATAACATGCCCATACCACTCTACTATTACTAGAAATTACTGGAACATATCTGTACTAATACTATACAGAGGAACGATTTGTATTTTTATATATTTTGAAATAACTCAAAAACTACTGGACCTTTTTTAAAAATTCTTCCACTGTTAAAAACGTGATTTATCTTTGAGTAACATAAGCTATGTTTTTATTATTATTATTTTTTAATTTTACGCGGGCGAAGCCTCGAGCAACAGCTAGTTTTTGTACATATTGAAATAACTCAAAAACTACTGGAATGAATTCAAAATTTCTTACACCATTACAAAGCTACGTTATCAGTGAGTAAAATATGCTATAATTTTTAATTTTACGAGGGCGAAGTCGCGAGCAATAGCTAGTAACTAGCTAGTATATACATTAGTTATACTTTAGAAGCTATTGTGTTATTGTCATTAATTCACTATGGTTTTAGTTATCTGCAATTATTTAATTATTCGTAGTCGTCAAATTCACAACTCGAGTGCAGCACATACCAATTACTGGTAAATACATAAGTTTTAATTATATTAACTTTGATGTTCGGAATTAATTTATTTATTCGAAATATTTTTTTTATATAAAAATATTAGTAAATTTTTGTTAATTTACTAATTTTTCCTTTAACCATTTCAACAAAGCTAGGCTTGTGCTAGGATATGGTTCACGACAGTCGAATGGTGGGATTCGAACCCTCGACTTTAAGATCCGTAGTCCGTACCCCAAACCATTAGGCTATTGGCGCTTAATTATATTAATGTATGTATACATGTTATGCTTTTTAAAATAATCTATAGATAGAGGATAAACACTAACTAACCTACATTAAGAACCTATATTTTTTGATAAGCCTTCAAAACGCCTTGAATATGGAGGTTACAGTGCGCGCACACCTTTGACTACTATCGCTCAGCTGTTTATTCTCGCTTTGACTATGAGCTTATATGGAGGTGCGCCCACTACTCGATTTTTAATTTTGCGATAGTTTAGTCAAAGGTGTGCGCCCGCACTTAGAGCCCTTTCTACATAATATCAGCGAAATAAGCTAAAAGTAAGTAAACATGTAGAAAATATATGCTCTTAAAATAACGTCAAAGACCATCATTGAAGTAATGTCAATGTGAGATTCACTTTAGTTCAACACTAAAACCACTAACTCCCATCAAAATGGCGCGATATTCTAATACGTCTGAATGACATTGACATATGTCATAGAGAAGGGACGTGTTTGTCGATGATCTAGTGTTGCGCCGATTTATTAACAATAGTGATGTGATTACCCACTAACCTGGTTTGATACAAGACATCCCACAAGCTCCATCGCAGAGGCATTTCTTCTTCTTGCTTTTACAGTCTTCGTCGGACGAACACTTGCGTAGACATTTCTGACCCTGCAACAAAAATATAATTCCCTTTTGACAACGAAGTTAAGGAAATATGTGTTGTAATTTGGCATAGATGTGGAAAGGCTAATCATTTTTATTAATTCCACGCGGATAGAGTCGCACGCTAAAGCTAGTTTTACTAAAAAATATATGCTTACAAGTAAGGTAGCCTGTTCTTCATCACGAGGGCAGTCAGCGGAAGGTGAGTTACGCGGGTTCTTGTAGACACGGCCATCATCGTCGGCGTCAGCGCGGCTCTGCGGCGTCGTGTCGTCATCGTCGTCATCATCCTCTGTTGTTGGACTCGGCAGTGATGACACTGGAAAAGACAATGGATTGTAGACAACTCTAGTTGTACCATGACTGAAGTGCTTTGGACAGGACAGGTACGAGTTCGGGTACAGCTCGGTACGGGTACGGTACGACTACATCTCTATTAGTCTTCATATTGAATTAGAACTCCATTTTGTCGTCTTTTCATAATATAAATTTTCTACGTTCTAACTATATATTTGTAATTCAAAACATCGTAATGAAACGCATACATTTCCCGCAAAGATGTGACAGTTATTTTCAAAAGCGAGAAATTTACTAAAACAACTAGAAAAACGTGGAATATTTTAACATAGCAAGTAAGAGTGAAACAAACAAAATCAAATATAATTTGCATGAGAGTGCTGCGAGTGCACTCGGCTACGCTTCACAGCAAGCATAGTGCTGGGCTACAATGATAGGCGGAGCGGATAGCGGGAAGGTTTACATAATAGTCTCAAAAAAGGAGGGCCAGATTTTGTCGGAACTTTGACGAGAAAGTATCTGTTGCACGCAGTAATATCATAGGCTAAATTTTTCTTTACTCTGACTAAGATGCGGGCGACCGCTTTTCTAAAATATAATCTATTTCATATTATTAGCTAAACGAAAAGTCGTTAAGTTCTCCTTAAGCCGTATCTTAGTAAAGATTCTTTTTCTTCAATAAGGGCTCCCCGAGTAATAAAACACACTGAGTTGCAGTAAGTTCAATTTTTAATTTTACATTTAAGACATAATAATTAAATCTGTCAGAAATGGTGTTATTATGTACATAATAAAGAACTAGATTCTTCCTTACTCCTTTCTTTGTTCTTCTTTCCCATTTACGCCTAAAAGAGCCATTAAAAAAATTGGTTTACAAAAAACGCTACCGCTCCGCTCGTTACTGAAGCTTTACCATTTTCATCAGACTGTGTTACGCTCGCTTGTTACGCGATGACTTTTACCGGAACGACATTCGACGCTATTCAATTTTCTGTGACGTCATCGCACACCATTTCCCTCAGTACTTTACACTTGTATCTAGTAATGTGCAATGTCAAATTGTTAGTGTCGGTTTTTATTGACGTCATTACAACTCAAGCCACATGGCAGTGGAAAATCACGGTTACATATTAACACTAAATAGGTTCTTAGAAATAGAATTAAATATATGTAATTTAGATGTAGACTTGTGAACACAATAAGTTTTTAATAAAAAATGTTTTAGCAACCAATTTCACATATAACTGCAAATAGAAATGTTATATTACGATAAAAACGCAAATTTCACTATAAAATACAAACAATGAGTATTTAATAAGACAACATAAAATCCAGCTTTGAAACAATACGAACAGAGACAAAAGGCCAGTAATTAACTCCAACACTCAATTGTTTTGTCCAAACGTTAAAGAATCGAGTGCGGTTGAGTGCCGATTGTTTTGTTTTAACAAGACAATTGTTTTACTTTCGAATTTCGAATTCATTTGAATTTGGAGTACAGGCAAAGAATTAAATTAGATTCCCATTTAGAATTATATACTACCACACAGTGGTAGTGCCCGCTTTAACATCTTAGCACGAATGGGCCGGCACGCCCGGTGTAATACCACGACCACACAGAAGACAGGCGTGA